CCCCCCCTCCATAACGCCACTTCCGCGCTCCTGTACCTACCCACCTAACCACTGCCACAGGTCAACACCCAAAATGCAAAAGGTACCTTCAGCCCAAGTATCACATTCATCCTTGCCACAGCTTTTTCTCTCCTGCGCACCATTTCGCTCTGCTTATATTTTTTCTCCGGTGAGCCTGCACATCACTCCAGGGCATTACCTTTCCACCTGTCCGCTACTGTCCACTGGCCTAGGAGGGATATAACTTGAAAGGTGGTCTCTCATGCACTGCGTGCCAGTCGTCTACCAAGAGCCGTGTCTCCATTTCGCCGCAGAAGAGACGTGCGACCAGCGACTGGATGCATCAGTCACTTGTTTATCAAATGGCGTATTCGTTGCCCTTCGGGTAAATGTTTTGTGCCTCTCATAGTCCGTCCCAAGCGGTGGAGAAGCTTGAAAATGTTGAAGATGAAAGTAAGTTAAGGCTAATCTTTCAGGTTAATCTCAGAAACACAGATATTAGAAGCAGGATTTTAGTTCCACTTTGTAGGACGAAGCAAGGCCACGGTGACTCCACAGCCATTGCTTCATTGATTCCCTGCGTCCGAAAAGACGCCTCTTTTAAAAGTAACTAGCCTAAAGCCCGAAGATCTGATTCAAGCAAGATACGCAGTACGAAGCAAGTAGCCTCGTCCAGCGTACTCGAAGATACCTTGGCAGGTGCCAAAACACTCTAACTGCCGCACCACAGCAACAGTGCCAGCGTGCTTGTGTTTCACAAGCTGCCAGAAACATCATGCTAGAAGGGCTAAGGACCGTTTCTGAGCAGCTGCCGTAATAAGCAAAAGTGCAACGAACCATGCAAAGGAACGGGCTCCCAGCTCTTCACATTTCGCTGTCACAAAAGCTGCTAGAAGGCGCTGCAGAGGCGATCTATAGCGGCGATTTCCTCAAGTGGAGTCCAGCTCATTGAGCGCACCCCCAAAAGCTGCTGGGCGCACCGCACACGTGCTGTAGAACTCCACAGTCGCCAACGGGCATGTAAAACCTGAAAGCACGCTACAACAGATCAAGTTTGGATGCGTCCATGCGGCTTTAGGCCAATTCTAGCAATCACGCGGTGTAGCAGCGAGTAACTGTTAACATCCTGCTACAATGAGCTTGGCGCCACTTGTAAGCACACGGCTGGAAACAGGCCTTTCCACTACTGCATTGATGCACAGCAATGTGCGTGTCTTTCATGTTAGTTCAACGTTAGGATTAGTATACCTGAAGGATAGGTGCCTTAAGCTGGCGGAGCGCTTGCACGTCGGTCTCGCCGACAAAAGCTAGTGCGCGGTGCAACATAGGAACGATACAAAGAGCCTCATCAATACCTAGTCTCCCCTGGATGGCTCGCAGCTGCAACAGCGTCTCACATCTATGCCAATTCGGGCTCCAAATTTTTCAAAGAGCTTGCATGTCAACAAAGCGAGCAAGGGAAGGGCAACAGAGTCAGCATGAGGATGCTAGAAACCGCCAAGCTTCATCAGCCTCACCAAGTCATTAGTTTTAATCAACAGAATGAGCTCGTGAGGAACATCTTGTAGCACGCTCGTTATTCGTGCAAAATATTCTGGAAATGATCTCCTTAAAAGAGCTGCCTCCCTGCTCATAGAGGTGCACAGAATGTATGTGCTCCCAAGACATATGCAGGAGGGCACAAAGTGGCCACCTTCACCTCGTCAATAATCAAGCCCTAATATGATTCTTACTCTGGAGTTTTCCGAGACAGTTGCAAACCCGAATTGATGCTGCAAACAAACGCTTCACATAGACCTTTGGACTGCTGGATTCGAATTTGTACTTGAACGCGCCTCATGTTGAAACCCACGAAAGAAAAGCGCTTCATGTTACCTGTCCTCACTCCTTAGACTGAGAATCACGGCCAGAAGTCCAGCGAGTTCGCCCACACCGAATTCGTTGGCACATGCGGTCACGGCTGCAATGTCTCCTCGCTGCATAGCCAACCATAAACTGGCGTAGGTATACCTAAACTGTTGAGTAAGCGTGCAGTATAGGCCATGGTCTAAAAGGCTGAGACGAAGGCGCCCTTTCCTCCGTCCTGGTCCTTTTACCAGGTTCTGCATTTCTGTATCTCCCTTTCCATTAAGGGATGAGAGAAGCATCAAAGTATGGTGCCGTAGCTGCGGTTCCTGAAAGCCCTGAGTTTCATGGGGGCACTTTTCTAAGTGCACGATAACATTACCGGGGTGAGGATCCGCATGCACAAATCCAAGGTCAAATATTAATCTCCCATACAGTTCAGACAGCGCCTCAGACACCGCTAGAGGGTGGATTCCTGCAACAAAAAGACGCCATTGAGCACAGTGAACAAACGAGACATTTTTCTTACAGAGAAGCGCCTGGTCTGTTCAAGGCAAACAGCCACTATAACTTCAACTTACCTTGAGCGACAACTCCGTGCAGGTCGTCCACTGGAACCCCTTCACAGCGTTCCATTACCAGAACCCTGGAAGTCGTCAAAGAGCTATAAACTCGAGGAACGTACAGCTCCACCTCGTAATTACAAAGGCACTGCGACGTGTCTGCTCTCGCTGTGTAGGCTGAAGCGGAGGCGGCAGTGGAATGAAGCCGCGAAGTTGCTGCTTGTGGCTGTATATTTCCAACGGGCGCTTCTAGTTTTTCCTTGTTCATTAAAGATGCTTCTCCTGCTCCAAGAGCGACATCCTCGCTATGTATTTGAGGATCTAAAAGCCAAAACCATGAAGCTACCTTTGCTGCGTGTTGAATGAGCAGTGATCGCACTCGCGAGGGCTCAGGCAGCGCGAACTTGAAAGAAGAAGAGCCTTCTTCGAGCAGCTGGCGGCATCTCTTGGCATTGGTAGCCTCTTTCCTAAAGTCCAATTCCGCAGGGAGATTTTCCCGAAGCAGATCCACAAGCCACTCAAACCTGCCAGCATGAGAAACAGCGGTACCGCCGAAGGGTAAGCGTAGAACTGGTAATCAGCTCCATACATGCGTCTCGTCAGCACAGAGATGCACCCGACAGGCAAGACTACGGCTTGAAACATCTTCCAAATAAGAAAAAAGAAATGCTTTTCCTTATTGGTAAGACGTTTCTAACGCAGTCTATGTATAAAAATTCGCCCCATCCTACATTACTGCCAAGCACAATAAAAACTCATGCTGCAAAGCAGTGGAGAAATTTGCGGATTTTCGTGCGCAGCGTGCCGACACATACGAAAGAATACTGATAGCTTCAAAAATTGCGGCGGCACTGTAGGCTTCTACGCGCTTCTACACGTATGATCATTCATCTTCTTTTTCTTTTTGATGGACTACCTGACTTCTGGGAAAATCTTTGCTGCGACTTTCGTCAGAACTTCAACAACTCGCGTGTCCACTTCGGCGAGTTTCCGCACATCGGCATGTTGCACTTTGACTGCAACAGGCTGTCCGTTGGAAAGAACAGCGAAGTGGACTTGAGCCAACGACGCTGACATGAGGTGCACCAAAACACAGCGAATAAATTTCTTCATGCAGATGAAACTGGCAAAACTACAAGAAGCAAAACCTGCCCCTGCAACATAATGAATGCTAAGTTTTTCTCTTGAGAGTCAAAGACAACGCCCCTACGTGCCCCTTACGAAAATGTTCGAAGCAAAGAGGCAGTCATCGAGTGGCAACAAGCTGCTAAGGTGCAAAAGGACCTACATAAGAAATCGACTAGGAAAGGAATTGCCAGAGTGTAAGCTCATGGTCGCTGAATCCTTGATGAACTTACCCGCACCAACAGGCGTTTCATCAAAATGCTGAAAAACTTCATCCAAACTCTTTATTTTTAGTTCTTGCTTGACCACTTCCTCTACTTGTGCCATGGAAGATGCCGGCGCATTACGCTGCAACTGCTGCAGCTGTTGGGTATATTCAATTGGCAACAGATATTCCATAGCGCTGGCGTGCTGCCCTACTTTAACGTAAACCCCACCGTTCCTCTCAGCCAGTCTCACTAGGCGCTGCGCGCTGCGCCGGTGGCAGCCGCTCATGTCCCACCACCCTGAAAACATGTAGCAGTTTCACCGCTTATTTTGTTGATACAAATTAGGTCCAAGATATCTCGGAACACTTGAGCTGCGCTGCACAGGCCGCCTACAGGTCCTTCTCTTGAAGCATCTGACATAAGCTGTGCTGATATACGTTTTCTTTCCAAGGACTATGCTAAGCTATCGCTAGCTGTTACCGTTACAGCTGCTCACCCAGAAGCTTATAATCAACGCTCAGTGCAACCAAGGCAGCAACCGCGTTCCCACAGCGAAGCACAGCCCACGTGCGGGTTCTTTCTGGCATAATCTCCTGTAGTCCCCAGCCAACGACTCCAGCAGTAGTCAGAACAGCTCCGGCTACATACAAACCCCTACTTACGAATAAAAATGTCGAGGAGGCTTTGTTTGGATCGCCGTGGCTGTGGGGTATTCTGAAGCGTCTGAAAACGTGCTTGACATGAGCGCTGTTGCTTTTCCCCAGGGTGTTCTTATGGCTCGCTGCGACGTGCCTTCCGGTGAAACCACCATAGTTAAACCGCAGAAACGACGTGAAGCAGGAAGCATTAGGTGCGAAGTGGTGAAGAGTGTGGAGCCGTAACATCCTGACGTCAAAGCGATGGAGCACTCCCCGCCAGGAGCCGGATGAAGCAGTTCAGCAGCACATAGCGCTGCTCCAGAAGGCTTATTCTTTCCATGAGCCAGTCGCGATACTGCCGTACTTCGCATGGGCCGCTGTTGTTCACAGGCATCGAGCCCCTTATGAGCTCCAGCTTCTAAAGACTCCTTGGTCGCAGAGTTATTAGTAGGGGGATGCCTTTCGCATGACTTCAAAAGCAGCGAAAACTTAGACACAGCTGGAAGTTTCTGTTTTGCAGAACTACCTGCTGCCGCGGCGGTGCCGGGGTTCAATAAGCGAGAAGAAGCTCTTCTGTCCCATGTATAATGGGGTACTCCGTTCTATCACGATGAAAATATGAAATGAATCAATATATCTCTCTCTCCCGTGACCGTAAAAAAGTTGTATGTGCCCAATAAGAACGAATACGGCTTCAGACACTTCTGCAAGGCGACTTGCCGACTTCGCTGCGCCAATTCTTGACGCTGAGTAAGTCTTCGCCGTTATTGCAGAAAAATTATGCGGCGAAGTTGCCGTATTATAGCTATGCCCCGCCACAACGAGCCAGTGTTTTTTTCATTTTACTCATTTTAAAGAATCGTGTGAGTTGACGAAGGGCTTCTACAAGCGAGGGGTTTCGTGGTCCAGCGGCCGACGACTGCTTTTTCTCACGCAGTAGATTAATTTTTACGTATTTAATACTTCTGTTTTTCCGTCCAATAGCCATTTTTAATAGTCGTCTTCATAGGTGCACCACGGCGTCGCCATAGGTAATATCACTGAGAACTTGGGGTTTTGGGGCTTAACATGATTATGAGCTACATAGTTAGTGTAGAACCGACTTGAGCTCTGCAGCAAGTAAAGTCAGTTAAGCTGAAGTTGGTAGCACGGTTTTCAGGAGGTGCCAATTCAGAGGCATCTTCCCCTGAGTTTAAGCAGCACCAAAAATGGCGCAGGTAACTTGTGTGTACATTGGTATTTGAAATGTAAAAATAAAACAGCTTTTATGGAACTTTGTCGTTTCTGGGTGTGCACCGGACGCAGGCCGTAAAAGGCTGAATGATCTGTTGTTGCGACATCAGAGAAAAGGGTCCCTAGCGATGCTTTCAGGTCGGCCTTCCGGGGTGTTGACAGAGGAACACCCTCCTTTGAGAGACGACTTGAAGTTGTGGTCTAAGCTGGTAAAGAACTGGCTGCCAGTTTAATGGGTGAGTGAACGGAGTTCATGGTTGCCCTCTAACCTATGGACTCAGTGAAATTCTACGGCTCTGTGAGCCCACTGGCGCTACTCAGTTGCCCACGCTGGCGGATAAAGTAGCTCCCGATTAAGATAATTTGCTGTCCTGGTCAGCACACTGCAGCGGGGTACGCGGGGTGTCATGAAAACGCATTGGCCAGCGGCTTCTGCAAATTTTCCAAGGCCATATTCATGAGGCCTTGGGCGTCCTCTAGAAAGGGAAGCCTTTGAGGCATAAGGATGCGTGAGGTTTAAAGTTCCGAATTTAAATGAAGTCAGCCTGCAGTTTGGTGATCGCTGTATACGGTGACCGTCGCACTGCTGGGGAAGTTCTGAGTTCTGCCGCTTGTTTATTGTTGCCATTAGGTTTAGAAGCGCGCAGTTCCCGAGATAATTGTTGAAACAACTGATTAATGTGCTTGCTCATATGCTGCACTG